CTCCCTGGTCCTGTTAAACCAGGAATTCAAGGGCTCCCTGGTCAGCCAGGTCCTATAGGAGAGCCTGGTCAAAGGGGTTTACCTGGTTTACCTGGTCCTTCAGGCCCAAGAGGTGAAAATGGAATTGGTGTTCCAGGATTGCCAGGTTTAAAAGGACCTGCTGGACCGCCAGGTCCACGTGGACAAGTAGGCCCCCCTGGTATTGGTAAGCCAGGACTTAATGGTCTACCTGGGCAACCAGGGATTCCAGGGAAGTCTGGTTCACCTGGGGAACCAGGACTAGTAGGACAACCTGGTGAACCAGGACCACCAGGACCAGCTGGTCTGCCAGGAATAGGAAAACCAGGAAATGATGGATTCAGAGGTCAACCTGGGATTTCAGGAGGTAAAGGGGAGCCAGGTCCTCCTGGTTTACCAGGGGGTCCAGGATTGCCAGGATATGGCAAACCAGGATTTCCAGGACCTAAGGGTCACAAGGGGCATTCTGGTCTTCCAGGTTTTCCAGGTCCTAAAGGTGATAAAGGCCATGGGGGACTTCCTGGAGTTGTTGGACCTAATGGTCTAAGTGGTATCCCTGGTCCACCTGGTCCACTTGGGCCTCCTGGTAATCTTGGCTTTCCAGGCCAAAAGGGAGAGGATGGATCCATGGGCCCAGTGGGAAATCCTGGAAGAAAAGGTGACTTTGGGCCTCAGGGGCTTCCTGGACAACCCGGCAGATTTGGTGAGAGTGGGCAACCAGGTCCAAGAGGTTTACAGGGGCCTACTGGTCCAAAAGGAGAAGCTGGTATAAGGGGCTCACACGGAGCCCCTGGTACTTCAGGATTGCCTGGACCAAGAGGAGAGGCAGGGCAACCAGGAAATTCAGGTCACCAGGGTCCACAGGGGATTCCAGGGCTTACTGGACCAGGGGGGCCAATTGGACCTCCTGGACTGCCAGGGCAAAAAGGAGAGGTAGGCATGCCTGGTAATGCAGGATATCCTGGGGAAGGAAAGCAAGGACCCCCTGGCCACATTGGTCCTCAAGGTAACCCAGGTCCCAGTGGCTCTCCAGGACTTCCAGGACAACCAGGACAACCTGGACCTCCTGGTCCTCCCGGACCACCTGCTGTATCTCCAGATCTGGGGCAGATCCTCCCTGTTTCTGGCCCATACGCTGGCCAAAGACAAGGCTACAAGAAGAATGGGGGTGAGCTGGGTGGGAATGGCCCAGAGATGCCTTCATTCACAGCCAAACTCACAAATCCGTTCCCTCTGGTAGGCTCACCAGTTATCTTCGACAAACTCCTGCACAATGGTAATCAGGACTACAATCCTCAGACTGGTATTTTCACCTGCAGCATACCAGGGATTTACTACTTTGCTTACCATGTCCACTGCAAAGGAAGCAATGTGTGGGTTGCACTGATGAAGAACAATGAGCCAGTGATGTACACTTATGACGAGTATAAAAAAGGCTTGCTGGATCAGGCTTCCGGGAGTGCCGTTCTCCCATTACGACCAGGAGACACTGTGCATGTGCAGCTGCCATCGGACCAGGCTGCCGGACTATATGCAGGTCAATATGTTCACTCAACTTTTTCTGGATATCTGTTGTACTCTATGTAAGAAAAAGGGAGGTGACAGTCATAAACATGTGATGGTAAACCATCAATAGAAAACTACTTCAGGCTCAAAGGTACAATCTGGATTGGGTTGAGGGTACAATATCTTGGTATGAACTCCACAGAGTTTTTTTTTTTTTACATTTTATGCCTTGTGTCTGCACAATGTGTTTATATACTGTTATAATCCATTTGGCTGTTGTCTTTGACATTTAGCACCATTGACATTATAGGTTCTGGCTGTACAGTACATATCATAAAACATACTGCTATTAGTTCAGTTGACACATTTTCTTATCCTTTGCTTTTTGCCATTCTTTTCCAACACAATCATATTAATGACTTTGTAGAAATATTTCCTAATAAACTGTGTCACAGAATAACACACATTTTCCTTCCTCGTGTTTTGCCGATTCCCAAAAACAACCTGTGTAAATGGCACATACAGTATCGTACTTTAAATTCACAAACCATGTTTTGAATTACAAAAGCATCAGTTTCTTCATATCTCCACTTCCTCTCCAGGGTTCATTTTATAACAGAATTAAGTTACACTCACAATTTGCATTAAGTCTTGGGGGGGTAAATATTTGTGTCTTTTTGTACTAATATTGAATTACTTCCACTCTCTTTGGTTTGTCAGCATTCTCTGTAATTTATTTGTTTGACTACTGATTACTTGTAATTGCTCTGTTAAACATACAATTGGGTATTTCATTTTAAAAAATTATAATATTAAATGTGTTTTACTTCATGTGTGGTTAAAATCATTTTAATTGAAGTGTTTAATCTGTGGGCTTGCCATTTTGAAATAAAAATGTATATTTTATCCCTTTTGTGGACAGTGGTGCACAGTATGTACAACTCAAAATCTGTGCCTTCAATGTGTGAATTTTTGGCTTGTGTTATTTTAACTGGCAACTTCTAATAAAGAAATACAAAACTATTATCTTTGCTGGCACTGTGACAGGGGTTATGGCTATAACTTAGAAAATATCAAACATTATAATAACTAGTACTAATAGTAATAACTTCTGTACTGTACTACATTACTTGCCACTTTGTTCATTGTACTTCATGGTAGAATTGCTAAAAAAAAAAAGAGTACAAAATGGGAAAAGAACAAGACAAAAAGTGTTTTACTTGCGTATTAAACACAATTGCACCAAACTCTGGACAATATTTAACCTGCAGGATGGCTCATTTCTGAAGTGCAAAATATCATTTCTATTTCCACCTTCATACCAAACTGTGTGTCAGACAATAGCTAGCGCAAGAACAGGCATGCCCAAAGTCGGGCCCATGTCTAAATGTCCACCGACCCGAAGCGTCTGACATAAAATCAATAACCTGTGGCCAGTAAACACGGTTGCCTATGTACATTAAAGAATACACCAGTACACAAAAGCAATTTTGTATTTTACCAGAAGATGGCAGTACACCTGTAGCCCGCGTGAGGACAAGACTCACCTGCATGACACTGTTTTACAGCCAGACCTTTCTCAAAAATACATCATCTCATTTACCATAAAATACTTACCTATGTCAATTTTTGTGGTTAAAATTCAGAAAAAATATAATTTTTTAGTACACCAACTTTTGATCACTTCAAAATACTATACCAATAAGTTACCAAATGAGTGTATTTTTTCTGTATGTTAAAATGAAGCTAAATAAAACAAACAAAAACTCTATAGTACCCAAGACATGACCTAAACCTGAAAGGTACACACATGTTGCAATGTAACATATTGATTGATGCATCATCTTAATTCTTCCACATTTATCATAGATGAAACAGATAAGGCACAGCTAAATATGACCTGATGTCAAGTTCAACAATTCCAATGTAAACAAGTCTCTGTAAAACCAACAGCTCCTGTGGATTATATGGCCATCTGTGACCAAAACATGAAAATACATTTTGCATCATAATCCAGCAGGGGGCAGGCCAACACTTTCTCAGCACTATGCTTAGCACGTTTCTGAAACACATTGGTAGCAGAAAGGCAACAAACTGTTCAAACCTAGGCTGTAACAAGATTTAATGGCCGTAAATGTATATTCAGCACCGTTGAAGAACTCTATACAGCTATGTTCACAGTGAACCTTGACCCGAATCAATATGTGTGTGCATAATGTACTGCATGGTAAACACTGGTAACTTCTACTGCAGTAATTTTATTTATTATTTTAACTCAGTGTCATTTGGTTTGCAGAAAAAATACTGCACACTTGTGGATGTTTTCTGTTGTGTGTGAGACTCACGTGCATCGTGTCGTTTCCCATCAGATTCACGACCATGCCCGACAGAACAGCCGTTTTTTACACAAAATGCAGAATGCCGGCTACACCACGAGTATAGTCGCACCAAAGACTGAAGCCAGTCCCTAGGTGGCAACACTCGCAGAGTGGTCTGTACACATAAAAAATATACATGTTATCAGGCTCTCAGCAGTATTTCAATTCGCTGGGGAGTGGGCCGGAGAGGGAGGGGAGAGGGCGTGAAAACATTTCTGTCCCCAAAGGAGGGCATGACAGAAAATAACTGAGGACCACTGGACTAAACCCTGCAGCACAGGTGAAAAAACAGGAAACAGCGGAATTTGGATGCTGCTTTTTCCTTTCTGTTTTACATATTTTAATTTATATTCTTTGGGATTATCGGTTTCCCTGTAAATAATTACAACAGTTGTCCGGTTCTTCTGTGAAATTAAGACTGGTATTTGTTTTTTCAGTTGTATTTCAACTGTAACTTTTTATAGAACTCATATTTGAGTTGAAGCCATAGAATTTGTAACAATAGGAGTATTGTTCCGGTTTGTTGTTGTTGTCTAGGGACGGATTTGTGAGACGCACCGTCATGAGAAATGCAGCGACTGAGCTGACAGTGTTTAAGAATTGAATATAAATCAAAGGCAACGTTGGAAACTATTGAAGAGTTTCTTTATTCATTCTGAGGTGGGAGACAACACAGTGAAACATAAATAATATACATTTTTTTCTATTTGTTTTACATATTTTATTTATTTTTTGGAGTGTCACTGTGAAGTGTAATGTTTGGGTGAAGTGGGTGCGGTTGACGGAAGTGTAGCGTTTGTAAGGGAAATCCATGTACATTGGAGCTTCCCGAAATACTAGTATTCCGTGTTCCGTGTAGTTACTAGTGCTCAACCGAGGACTGGCTGTATTTTACTTTTGTTATACTTTTTTATTCTTAATCTCTTTATTAAAATAATAAATTAAAATAATGTTTCATTTCAACTGTAATTTCCGTTATTTTTCTTTCCTGATTTTAATGCAACTACGTGTCGTTTTGTGAAATAATCCTTTTGCAGTTACAGTAAGTCAACACAAGGGGGAAACGTTGCAATTGTCGAGCTAAGTGAGCCTTTGTATTTCTACATTCCTACGTCTAACTCGAAAATCTGTCGACATCTTACATGTTATGTGAATTTAACGAATGAAACATCGTTAGCATGCCACACTGATGTGCATTCTGACAGTATTTTTCCTCGTCACTGTCAAGCAAAGACAGAGATGTGGTGTTTACTCTTTACTTGGAACTCTCACAAATCGCCCGGTTTAATTACAATGGGAATGGTACTTCTTAATTCTAGAAACTCTTCAACACGGCAGCAGATTATTAGCACACTTTAGGAATTCTTGTTTTTGGGAATGGGAATTTCAGTATCCTAGCAGTGGCACCTTTCCAGACAGGGCATTTCGAGTTGCCTTTGAACAGGAACAATAAGGTGTCAGGTAAACAAACCTTCAGGAAATTAGACATCCTCCAGGTGTTCCTGCTCCATTAAAACCAGCATGGCTACAACGTAGCTGAACATTGGTTTATGTGGCGTGACGCAAGAGCAACGTCAGCTGATTTGTGTGGCAATAGGTGCACAGATGTATTCAGATGGACTGTTAACAAGAAACAAAAGGTTGAGCCGTGATGATGTTATTAAGGTGTCTGGAGCTTCTCTGACCTGAAGTCTGCACAGAACACCAGCACAACTTCAACCGTGTTCTAAAAGCCTGTTAATCACCTAGACTTTCTCCTCTTTAGATGTCAATTCAAAGCCATTTTATTGCATGGCTCGGTACTAAGATTCTTAAAAGTCACAGACAAAACCCAAAAGTGCTGGTTAGCCTTCTCCTTCAATGTGTTTAGTTGTTTAAACACAAGCAAATAAAGCAAATATATAAACATGTCCTGGGCCGTGGTCAGAGGAAACATGCTCCATTTTGTGGTTTCTGAGTGGGTACTTCACACACTTTGTTTAGTACATGCTATAAAATCATTTTTAAATTAACAGTACTTAGGTCCGAGTTCCGTTCCTATAGAGCAACATTATTATTTAAACTTTAATTTGGAACCCAATCAGCGGCTGAATTGGACGGTTCGGTGGGCGTGATTGGCCCTGTGGGCCACCATTTGATAATCACTGGTGTACGTTCTGTTTGCATTTAGAAATAAATCTCCACATAAAACTACACGTACCACAAATGGGTCGCGGACCGAGGTTGAATGTGATGTTTCTGCCTGGTTTTTATGTGCTCAAGACGTTGGCTTGTAAGTTGAAGTGTTTGTGTTGGCATTCAGTGTCTCCTGCTCTAACCCCTCCTTCTCTCTCTCTCTCTCTCTCTCTCTCTTTCTCACTCTCTCTTTCTCGCAAGCGCTCACGCACGCCACCTCTCCATCAGTGCTGAGCAGCAGCAGAAACAGAAGGTTCTCCTCCTCCACCTCCTCGACTTGCCACTCTGACATGGAGCGGTACTGATTTTTTTTTTTTTTTTTTACTCTCCGTGGTGGGTGTCGGGGTGTCGGACTTCTCCACCTGCTCCTCCACCACCATGAGGAGCTCCCCGCGACTGTGGTCAGCCTTGCGCCTCCACGTCTACGTCCTACTGCTCCTCCTCAGCGCCTCCTGTCGCCTGTGCGTGGCGGGCAGACACGGTAAGATTCACGCACGAAAAACATATTACAGACGGTCAGCAGAGGGTGCGTTTAAAGCACAGACTCTTCCTGAGTCACTACATGTTACAGGGAGTTTAAACCGTTTACGGCACCGTTTCGCTGCCCATCAACTTATGAAATTAATAGTTTTTATGATGTTTGAAAAGATGCTACGACTTTGTATTTTGGCAACAAAGTGTGATTAAAAATCCATTGTTTTTATTGTTCAGATTATTTGACGTTTGCTGCTTCTTTTCGGCTGTCCTGTCCCTTTTACTAACGACGCAAAATGGTAATTTTGCCGCAAAATTGCGACACTGACGCAAACATCTGTCTGTATAAATACAGTCTGAGCTGTTTAGTACAATCCAAAAAACAAGAAAAAACTGTGAGATACGTAATCCTCCATTCTATGTAGGTAAGCAAACTTATATCGATGCATATTGATTATCCACGATCCCTTAAATTCAGTTTCTTCCTTTAGATTATACCACATGCTTCACTCTGATTGACCAAAAGCTCTTTGTGAGAATAGTATTATAGCAGGAATTTGATTGAATATATGGTCACTCTTTAAGTACTTTTGTACCATGTTTATGTTTGTGTGTGAGCTACAAGGCTAGAACATTAGCTGCTTAACAGCTGTGTTTTTAATCTATAAAATATGTTTAGCAGTTTATTGGTACATTTTACCTTTATGGTTCATTTGTAGTTGTTTCTTTGTTAACATTTTGTTATATTTTGGTGAGGACAGTCAAACGATTAACAGTTCGATCTCGATTAATCACAAGCTAAATAAAATAAATCAGCATTCCTAAATATTCCAGAAAAATGAAAGTACATTTTCAATTAAGGGTAAATTCCCAGAACACAAGACACAAGACAAATAACCAATCAATAACCAGTCCATGGTCAATATATGCTTTTCACACCTGTTTTATGACTTTGACATTTGTGTGATCCAGATGCTGAAGTTATTACATTTGTTCTGCATCATGGAGTTAGTGGATTTGGAGTTTTTACTGTGCATTTTGTGGGTAGCTTGTAGAACGTGTCGAGAATTAATTTGCTACAACATAAAAAATGGAATGAAAAGCTTTTCCCGTGTGATGTGTGTAAATGACAACTTGTGTAATTCAAAGTGTCTTAGCTAATTTTGGCAAATAGGTTGCTTAGCTTTTAGCTTAGCAAGCTTAGTTTTACTGTAGCTATTTTTTAAACATCCTCACCAAAACTATGTTTTGGCAAAACATTTTACTGTTTGTATTAAATTTGTCCTGCTTTTGACTAATTGACTAATTGAGATATTTTAGCTATTTGCAGAAGCCTTAGCCAAATTCCAGGGACTGTTAAGGCATTTCTATTTTGACTAACCACTAGCTATTTTGCTGCTGTTTGACCAACTTGTACCTGCCTTGGGCTAAAAAGTTGTGTTTTTTTTTACTTATGGCAAAAAATTGAGTTATATTACATTGTAAGAACGGATCTCTGACATAAATTGTTGACCCCTGTACATATAATAACAGCCAGGGTATAAGACCTACTTATAAGGGTATAAGGCTGTTACTTTTAAGTGTTCTTAAATAATTGATTTGTTTTGTCTAACTTTCACGTTTCTTTTTCTTTTTGCAAAGCCTCCTGTCATAGAACATCGTCTGCAATATTAGCAACAAACAACAAATTAACTTGTGTTGCTCTTCATCATACTCTTAGGTTCCATGGGGACAGGACAGATAACAGCTTATAAGTGAAGCTTATAAAGCCAATATATCAGTAACTGACATTAAGGATCCACTTCAAAACATCAATATCTACAAAGGTTTATTTTAGCAGCAGTGGTGTTTTGGAGAGGATTTTCACCAGATATTGATGTCCTTATCTGTTATTGGGGCAAAGTGTGCTAGATAGCAGCTTTTATGTAACAAAGTTATGATTTTGTCCTGAATTATATGTTTCATAATACTTTAGATCCTTTAAAGATGAATGTATCGCTATTTTTTTTTAATTAAGGTTATGCATTGTTTATACTTGCTAAGTGGCTAATTTGAGTATTCCTCCAGCTCCAGCAGTTATAGTTTTGGCATTTTGTAGGTGATTTTAGCTAACTTTTACTTCTTTGCAATCATTCATTACCCTTTATTTATTTATTTAAGATATGTATTGGTTATTCCCAGGTGGCATTAAGTTGTGTTTGTTTTTTTAGTGAATTATTAAATTTTTTATTTATGCTATTTTTATGAATAACTTTAGATATTTACAGGCTAAATCTTGCGTCTAGCTTTTAATTTGATAGATTATTTTATAGATTACTTTATGAAGATACATTTTAATCTTAATTTCACAATTTACAATTTACCTTCTATAAATGTTGTATCCCTGGTAGGTCTGTAGATGAAAGAACCATGAAATTTACAAGGCAAACTGGCACAATAATCCAGCTCCACATTGTTTGATATGATCCATTTTGAAGTGTATCTTCAGGCTATTCATTAATCCTATGGACATTTGTTTTTTAGACTTGTTGTTTGGGCAGATTTCTCTGTCCCTGAGAACTGAGGACTTTCAGAACTCAGATTTGTCTGTGACACTGTTTACTTTGGGAATGGCTGCTCTAAAATCAGCAGATTGAATATTAAAGCCACATTACAGGAGATTGTGCCCACAGCCGTGATGAGTCATTTGTGACCTCTCAGCTCCGTCTGCTCGCAGTAATTACAATGGCTTCCTGTTTCCTCGGTGAAGATAACGCTGTTCAGTGTTTCAGCACCACGGACAGAGAGCAGCATGAACACATCAGCACCGTGGATAGCGAACATCATTACTGGCTGCTGTTTAATCAATTAAGTGCGATAAGCATTCGAAAAAATGTGGCTAAATTTTCCTTTTCTTTTTAGATTTGACGCTAACTCTAAGTCTTTTTTTTTGCACATTATTAGCCATTTTATGCTGAACCTTAAAATTATGTTTATCATAATTGGATTATTCCGTTCCATATTTGTATGGAAACGGTAAAGTATCCAAGAGGGTACGAAGCCTAACGCTCTGAGGTGCTCACAGAGACACATGCAAGAACGAACTGGGCGAGATGAGGGAGATGAGTGTTGGAGATGCGTGTTTGGTGTGGGTTGCAGCAGAAAAGGGAAACAGTCAGATGTGGCCCGTGGTTCAAAATAGGAACTTAGGAACATGATATGGCATTTTACCAACATTTATGGAACTCAGTCAGTGCTTGTTTGTATCTCAGGAACTGCTATACCAAATTACAAGCAAAAGTGGTTCTTCTATACTTTAGACTTTATCAAATAAAGTGTAAACAACCAACTAAAGCATAATCAAAATTGAAAAACTGAAGAATAATTTAAAAAAAATCTTTGCCTAATGCCAAAATGTATTTATTATTATTTACATCAAGTCACTGACCAGATGGGGGCGCCTTCTTACCGGGAGATTTATTTATTCAAATAACTAAAATTTAAAACCTAGATACATTGTTTGTTTCCTTTTATTTAAAGACATTGTCAAGTATAAACCAATAAAACATTTAAAAACAGACAGATTCATGCATCTGACTTTCATTTATATTCCAAAGCGAGGCCATAACCTGAAGGTGAGACCTGCTCCCTCATTTTCATAAAGAGCTTAACCCAGTGTTGGAGGACACTAAAGCTGTACTCCAGTTCAAAATAACCATTGCATGTTTGTTTATGATAATGCAGGTGCTTATCACCCGAGGTGAGTCACCGATGTGCAAGCAGTGGCGGCCTGTGGTTCACTGGAACATTATTATGGATGAAATTTCACACAGAACATGTTTTCTTGTGTGTGTTTTATTGCTATGTTTTCCATGTTATTGTTGAACATGATGCTGGTTGTAGTTTTGCTTGGTGTCATCTGGTCTAAAGTCTAACGTTATAACCTCTCTGCCTCAGCTGCCAGTCAAGCCAACGACAGAGGTTGATGTTTCTCACCTTTAACATCCTTGAGCAGCCAGTAAAACACAGAGTACAAACTCAGGAAACTCGCAGCAGCAGCAGCAGCAGCAGCCACAAATGCCAGAAGCACCATTATGAAAATGAGTCTGAATTCAATCTGGCAGGAGGTTAATGGACAATAAAAGCAAAGCACAGTGATCGTGACGATGTTGGTTGCGGGATTGTGCCCTGAATTTTCATTTAGTCATGAGTCAGCTTGATTCTTGCCTGAAATCAGTTCTGTAGAGAGAAAATGTTTTCACTGCTAGAGCTGACATACGACTGCTGTAGAATGCTGCTTCACTCCGTCACTAACAGTCACTGTCTCACGAAGGCCAAGTCTGTTCTGCAGCCTCTCTGTCCTCAGTACAATTGAATCATGACTTACAATCAATGCATACAATTATATTATAATGCCAGACAGTCAGCGTAAGGATAAAAGACATTTTTACAATTTTGGTCTGTGTTTTTTGATAAAATTTTAACATTGTCTTTGGTTACTTTCGGCTATAAGCTTAAGAAGTAAACAAAATAATAGTAAAAACAATATATGTAAGACACATTTAGTGTGCCAAAATAGCTAATATGAGGGAAAGTCAAGAGATAGCTTAGATACACAGCTGATTAAGGTGGTTAACACTGGTTAAATAACAGTAGGAACATGTTTGAACAGTTTTCTTTCTTTTTTCTTTCAACGACTTAAAATGTCTAACTCTTATGAGTTGACAGAAGATAATGTCAGTCAAAACACAGCTGAAATAATGTATAAAATCTTATCTACAGAGAGTGTTTAGTAATACATGAGTATTGCTGGGGCAAAAACATTTTTTAATAAAATATATAATGTGTAAAACATTAACAATACCTTTTTAGATGCAGTTAAAGAAGTAAGAGCTGTTATGGAGTTTGTTGCTCAGCTGCACCAAGGCAGACGCCTCTTAGGTAAAAAAAAAAAAAAGTAAAGGAGGGTAGTAAAACAAACTCGGAGCCAGATGGTGACTTTCCACGGTCACTCCTCTGTCTAATTGGTTTGAGCTGCAGATAAAAGCTGTGTTTGTGGAGAAGCTGCAGGAGTTTCCCCTTGAGAGACATGAAAGATGAATTGTTTTGCCTGAAATTGTTCTGCCTCAAGGGGTCACTGTGGAGTTTAAAAATCGACCAACAAACTGCTTCATTTGAACAAAACAAAAAAGTTAGACTTAAGCAATTAAATAAAGTTTTTGTTATTAACAGTTTTAATTGTGGGAAGTCATATTGTGTCTGATTCCCCTCTTCATGACACTCTGTTAGATCTGGTAAAAAGTTAACAGATCTGGACTGCAGGCAGGTCAGTGAAGTGGACGCCGGGGGTTTGTTAGTTCTACAGAATGAGACCTGGAGTAGTCGTGCTGGGAAATACCTGGAAATCCTGGAAAAATATCCTGTTTTCGCAAACACCAAAACTGTCCCACCAAACATGTTCTTTATCCTGTTCCCAGTCGGACTAAGGGTAACCGTACTAGTGTACTACACTACAGTACTAAACTATATTTTCTGTTCTTACTGCATTTTTGGCAGGGCGTACCCATCTCAGCCAATTTGCCGTAATGTGCCACGCAGTTACAGCAAATTATGTTCTCAGAGGAGAGGGAACATTTAATTTTTCACAGTGCATCCTTGGTGATTACAGACTTAATTACATGTTAATTTTCCTCAAATGAGTGGGAGATGAGTTTTAGTGCGGAGCCTGACAGTGATGGACAGGCCGCATGATGAGCTTAACGAGATCTAAACAGGAATCTTCCAGAAGACGGAGCAGAGGCAGAGACTTGGAGTGGATATGGGTGATGAAGGAGGGAGCTGCAGGAGGAGGAAGAGGAAGACGAAGCAGAGATTAGTCATCGTGTGGAGGCTGGAAGGATGGAGAATCTCTCTCTCTGTGTTTAGCTGCCTCTCTCCCTTCTGTTTAATGGAGATTCCCTCTCTGCTGCTATTTGCGTCTTCACACCTTCCATTTTACGTCTGATTGAAGGGGACACGCGAGAGAAAGCATTAGAGAGGTTTTCAGTCTGAAGGAGGGAAGAAATCTCATGAGAGCTGCAGTTTCAGGAACCAAAACAAAAATCCCATTATTTGTGTCTCAAAATGAGTCATTTTCCCTGTTGGCGGTGCCGGCTAAACTTAGCTGCAAACTTTCAACGACACCAAGTCTAAGAGTGTTGTTAAACAATCTTTTCCTACGTGATTACATACATTACATTATACATATATATACACATGACACAGTATGTATATTTATATGTATGTATTTGTGTGTATATGTATGTAGGTGTGTAAATACAGTATGTATATATGCATATACGTACATACTGTATATATATGTGTGTTTGTATATACTGTATAGTCATACTTGCTTTTTGCTAATTATGACACTAAAGTGTGGAGTTTTTTGTTCTTAATTTTTTTTAATGTACAATGTGTTATAGATAATGGTTTTAAGCTAGTTTCAGTGCACTTTGTACACAATGCTTTTTGTACAGATCATTCATAGCTAATAGCTTGTGTCGTCACATCATACATTTTTCATATTTTTAAGATATATAATCCTAGCTGGAAATTTTCATTCACTTCTAAAAAACAGAACTAGATGTACATTACTTCAGGGGACGTGAATACTACACCTTCAAGGACACATCACACATACAGGTGTCACTGAGCAGAACAGAGGCTTCATATCTGCTCCTGGCAAAAGATTACCACCTGAGATAAGGTCAACTGTAACACACACACACACACACACACACACAGATTACAGCACTATGGCAACGTGTGTTACAGTACAGCTGGTTGTTCATATTCCCCCCAACTTATTGTTTGTTCATTATAAAACCCTACGATATGTTGTTTTGTTTTATTACTTTTTGATAAAATTCTAGTTTTTTTCCAATAGTTGTTTGTCTGATTAGGAGACAGGGAGTTTTAGTGGATGGATCAGAGTGAGAGGTGGTACTGTTTGAGAAGCAGCAGAAGTTGCAGTCTGCACCGTCCGTTAAGTTAGAGGTGGAAATAACTTTGAACTTTTCCTCTCTGTGATTTTAGATCTTTGGTTTCTGCATTTGTTTGCTCCACTAATATTCTAAGCTATCATGTCTTGTTTCTGACAATTTTTTTTCAATCTTTCCTGTTTCCTGATGAAGCTCCTATTTAGTCAAATATAACAGTTTTCTTAATTTGCCCACCTTTTTCTTCTCTCTCTCTGTTCCTGCAGGCTGCTTGTTTGAGAAGAAGCTCTGTCTCCAAGACCAGCTGTGCAACAATGGTGAGTCACCAGGTCTAACACGTACATCACATAAGGCCTTAACTCACAGCTGTACGGCCTGACACTGCCTGATAATCCTGGAGACATACTTCCCATGTTTTCTTTATATAAAAAAGTAACATCAGTGATGCACATGCTGCCAGCCATGATGCAGAATGACACAGTACAGGTCAGCACACCACAGCCCAGTAAAAGCCTCCTTATCTGGTCTGACCTAACACCTTCATCACTTTAGCTGAAAGGCTAATGTTTAACTAGAAGCAAATGTTGTTTTGCAAATCTATAGCCACAAAGGCACAATGTCCCCTGAATGTTACGCAGAGTTTTTCCAAAATAGTAGGTAGATTAGACACTTCTGGTGGAATACAGGAAAAAGATGCTTTTTGTTTGTTTGTTTTTGCTTTTGTCTGCATATACGAAAGGGCAGTAAAAGTATGTGTATTGTTTCTGGATGTCCAGTCCAAATGGTACACTTGTGTAACATTGTGTTTTCAAAGTGAACCAAGACCAACACACAGGTCCAACAGTGACCATCTAACTCTCCATACGTTACTATCATAGCTTTTGCTAATGGAGAGAACACAGCAGTCAGTTGTCCAATCAGCTTCCAGTCACGTGATCGTATCTCAAGTTACTGTTTTACTCCCGGACAGACTGCTCATGCAGACACTTCAGTGTTTCATCAGTGGAATTCCATTTCACAGTCTCTTTGGAGCTTTTTTTATGCACAACTGAGACTTCTTTTTCCTTCACAGCCTCTGTTGTCAAAAAGGCCGGGTTGACCTGCTCTTGTGTTAATCTTCACTCTGTGCAGCATAACGTAACCGCCCATTTTATTAAGTGATTATGACTGGTTGTTAATGTGAGGATAAAATATCAGAGGTAAAGATTGCATTAGCGGCCTCCCTCCTCACAGGCCAGGTCAACTTGTGCCACTCAAATTGATGCTTCAATAAATCATTGCTGTCAATGTCCTTACATGTAATGTAACATTTTATATAAATATATAATTAAAAGTTTTCAATTTAAATCTCTTAAATTAGCAATACTAAACAACACAAGTTCAAGCTTTTAAGGCAGGACTGAATACAAATGTTATTTTCCAGCTACGTCTCACGTTCAACTAGCTTTAGCTCAGTAAAGCAGCAGCCCCATGCTCCTCTTGAAGGTATCTTATACGGATGCCGTCCCCAGTAGGACGCTCTTGATCACTGTAGCTTGAATGTAATTGCAAACCGACCAATCGTGAGCAATCCCAGCAGGCTCCAGAAGCAACAACGGCAGCAGCTGCTGCGGCAGCACGCTTCAGGGAGCTCTGACGTGTGTCATGTCCATCAAACGATGCGAAGCGTCTGAGCCGTCACGCCCCAGATTCCCCTGAACATCCCCATCTCTGATCCTCCTGGAGGCGCTGTATCGGTCCACTCTGTTTACACATGACACGGCACACAGAAGGTTGCATTATTTATATGGTCAAATTTGTTTTGGCCATCGCCCAGAGGATGTTTTGTTTCATAGTTCCAGAAACAGAAGTGCTTCAGAGCCAGAATGTGGGTTTGATAACACTCGAAGAAGAGAGAACAAGCACTGAAAAACAAGAATGAGTGTGTGATAAAAGGGTTTGTGAGGGCGTAACAGGTTTTAATCCAAAGTGCATTACATAAGCTATCATTTTAATAGCCAGCATAATGAAGCCGTGAAGTGGGAGCTCAGTAAAGGTAGGTACATGCATTTCAAACTGAACTGGACAAATCTGAGGCACACATTTACTGTGTCGTGGTTTTTTACCTCAAAAATATGACACAAAGTAAATATTGCTGTAGTTTAGGTCGTGATTTTATAGTTTATAGTACTGAAATTATATTGTATTATGTAGTACTTTTACTTCAGTAGAATATTTCTACCTACTCTTTCCACCTCTGAATTTGACCAACCTTTTTCTCAACAGTGAGGTCAGTGGTCCTCGTCGTCTGATATTCACCAACCATTGGTTGATGCTCCTTTTGTACATAATCTGGATATGAAACCTATCACTGGTCAATAAAAAAATGTTGTTTTTGTTCAATAAACAACATTCACTTTATAAAATGAAGAAAATAAAATCTTTATTCGTCCTTTTCAGTGTCACAGATGGATTTCGATGGTTTTTAATACTTGGGTTCTTTAGCATTCTGTTCTACTCTGTACCCTTGATAAGATTGTAAGGAAAGATGATGTGTGTGAGTCTCTCTCTATGTGATTGTGTGTGTGTGTGTTTGTGCGTGTCTAGAAAATTGATAGAAACAAAAGGACTGGGGTGAGCAGCGCCACAAAGAAGAGAGTGGAGGAAAAAAAGTGAGAGTGAAACATAAAGGTCTCCCTCCGTCAAACACTCTCGGCCAATCAGGGCTCCTCCCTGTCGTCTCTATGACAACAGTGACATCACTTGCCTGACGACCGTGTGTCTCCCCCTTGTGTGTGTGTGTGAGACAGGAGACAGAGGCGATGACTCACCACGGCCTACACACACTCACACACACATATTGCACTTACGACCACACACAGACACACACACACACACACACACACAGTTTTTGTTAGGACTCACATTGACTTCAATTTATTTCTATGCCACTTGTCCTAGAGTAAATTACCAACAATGAAAAAAAAAATGAAAAATGGTTTAAATGTCAATATACACACACACACCCACGTATAGAAACACACACTGCGTTGTGCAGTTGTGTGTGTAGTGTGGTGATGTGTGCTCCTGCTCTGTTTGAGGTGTCATTTCATCGTTTATATCTCTGCTGGGTTGAACAACAGAACTGCGTAAAAGTGTCTCTGCTGACGTGTCAACACATTATTCACCGTGTGTTATACAGTGTGTAATGATCGCAAGCAGTTCTGCACTTGTTCTGGAGCACGGCCTCATCATGAGGTACAGCTCAGTACTGCATCACACCGTCACAGAGTGTCTGTATCTCTGTGTGATTGATTTTCCAGGAAGCTTAAAAACATCATGCAGATTTTTTGGTCCGTACGAACAAAACAGGGTTGTGCCTTTGGCTCCACAGTGGAGGCAGTGGATCTGCAGTTAAATCATCCTCCTGCAGCACACACGCAGGTAGACATGATGTTGTCATTACATTATTGACTCACTGCGGTCATAAAGGGTTGGTACTGGGGGTTCAACAACTATTTTAAGAGAGGCTCGATCGTCAACATGATGTTTTCACCCAGAGATGCTCAGCGTGGTGGAGCGGAATAGTTCCTTTCACACGGACAATTCTCTCTCTTGGAATTGACTGTGGCAGAAAACCACCTAGGGTTTGAGTAATTCTGCAATAACAACAATAGTAAATCTGTTATTTTATATTTTCTCTTTTTCTACCTAACCCTGTGTATTTTGTTATACAGGCAGGTCTTTTTGATTAGTTCCTGAAAGGCTGCTTTCCAGATGTGATATCTCAATGCTGTGAGTGTCACACCAATTAAATGTCATCACTGTTGTGTTTGTGTAGGCAGAAATGTCAGGGGCAGACATTTTGAAGCTTGTCTGCGCGAAAATTGTTCCCTCTTTGACACAGAACTCCTACATATTGTATTGTAGGGGGTGATTTTTTTTTTTTTTTTTTTTTTTGGCGTAATGTTCAGCATGAAATAGAGACACAAGGCTATAGTTTGTGGAATAAAGTGAAGGTTAGCATGATTGCAAGTAGGATCAGTGTCAGAGGCAGTGCAAAAATCACTTATCCATAACGACTTATAGAGGAGGATTAACATCACCATGTGGTTCCTCTGGGAATCAAACCCAGGACTCTCTGCTCTCTGCTTCCGAGGCAACCACTTCACTATGGAACTACTTTAATAGCTAGCATATAGCTACTTGTTTAACAACCGAGCATGAGATGTAATTGACCCAGTGTGTGGTGACATTGCCAACCTTGGCATCAATTAGCAATTAGCGTTGTAACTGAGGGGCAATTGTCCAGTTGAGGAGTCTTACATATGCAGAGAAGCTCCTCCTGTGTCTTTGTCACATTTGGGATTGAACCCTGGACCTTCTGCGTGCAAAGCAGACATGGCGACCACTACACTATGGCTACTACAATCCTGTTGCCTTTCACAAACAACATGTGGCTAAGATTTTCAAGCTAGCTACAGTACCAGATCTCATTGGTTTTGATATTGTGCCTGTTTTGATTGGTGCTCTCTGGTCCTTCTTTGCAGACGGTTTGTTTGGACAGTGCCAGTCTCCTCACCAGGAGCCAGTTCAGTACCAGGTGTCTGTACCTGTCCTGCACAAACTGCAGGAAGTTCTCAAAGACCTCATGGTGCAAGGTGAGTAGCGATCGGGCGTAACTCTGATCTCACTGGAAAGCAGTTCATTGAACGACGTCTTCGTCTCCATCAGGTCTGACATGGAAAGATGACTTCACCCAAGCAGTGATCAGTCGTGAGTTAAGTCATGTTCCTACTGTTGGCGCTCCCCTGAATAAAGTGTCCAAACAGTAAGAGAAAATAATCCATTGTCAGTGACGTCAGAGCCGCAGTGTGGACTGAAGTTGGTAATAAAGTCTGGGTCGTTACATTCTAGATTGTCTGCCGTGTCAGGCGCTGGTCAGCACAGAGTCCAGGGCTCTGACAATGGTGTCGACCCAAAGATGATGCAGCAGTACGTGGACTACATGATTCTGGATCCTTCCCGGTCTTCAGTCCACATGCAGAGACCAATGTTGGACCCATACACATATAGACAGGTGGGCAGACAGAGACAGACCTGCTGAGAGAGGTCTAAAACAGGACATCTGGGCTACATACCTGGGCTACATACCTTAAGATAGTTTTGCTACTTTGGCCACATGACTTATGGGCCACATTACAGTCTATTTATCCAGGCCACATTCCATCCTTCTTTGCCATGTTTAACTTTGACTTTGTCTTTTTGCCCCCCAAAAAAGATGTATGTGAGGAACTGAACAACACCGTTCTTTTGTAGCGTTTCAGGAAGTGTAAACAGGAACAGTTTTACCAAAAAGGATTGTCACTGCAATAAATAATAATAAACTGACCATGGGTTAAGTTCAACCTTGACCTCAGGTCGTTTTTTCTATTTGTATCTAGAAATTAAAATAAAAAATTATCAAATACTTAGTGAGTAGTGTAAAATAGCGCTCTGGAAGCGATTTTCTATTTAAGTATATTCTGCCACCTAGTGGTTAAAATAATAAACATTTTGTGTGTGATTTTCACAGCAGTACGGCTACCAGGAAGAAGAAGAACGCTCCCTCAACTCTCTGGACGATAATCCAGGATTCCCACTCATCGGCAGAGCAAACACTTTGGCTCAAGACCGCCAGCTTCTCCAGGACCTGTTGTCCTTTTACCTCACCTCCCCTTCCTCCTCATCTTCCTCTTCCTCCTCACCTGTGCAGTCCTTCCCCCGACACGGAGGAGCAGGATTCCCATCTTCCCTGTCGTCATCCCCTTCGTCCTCCTCCTTTTTCAGCAGCCTTGATTTCCCTCTGGACTATGGCGAGGACTACGTCTTTCAGATGTCTAAACTCAGCCAGCAGGAGCAGCAGCGGCGGCCACAGCAGCAGGAGCAGGAGCAGGAGGAGGAGGAGGCAGAGAAGAAGAAACCAGAGCACGATTACAGGGCTCTGTCAGGACTTGACGGTAGGAGGGGGAGGGGGTTAAGCTTTGTTAACATTAAATGATATGTTTCATTAAACATTCATCAAAAATATCTTGAGTGTTATTTATTGGTCACCAAAAAAAAAAAAAAAACCCACACAATTAAATATATTTTGAATTAAGGGAAAGTTTTTACCATCTGTCTTGTGGGTTTCTGTAGAGAAATCCCTGCAGAGACTGGCCCTGCTGCTGGATCCCTACGGCCTGGACCTGAAGGATCTGACCCCCGAGGAGAAGGACAATCTGCCAGCTGCCCTGAAGCAGCTCCAGCTGGAGAGCTCTTTTGCCAAACAAGCCAAAGGTTTGTTTAACTTTAACTGTGAAAATAAGTTTTAAAAATATATTACTCCCATAGACTTTTCCTCATCCTTTTTCTGTGATGATTATTTTTTAAGGCAACTATAAAAACAACGATGCCACTGGAAAGAAGGTAAGAAATACTATACTAATACTAATAACTTTTACTGTTAATTTCTGCTCTTTAATAATGAATTTGTAAAGCAGGGATATGTCTGGGATTTATGTTTTACCCTGAAAAGACATTCCTAAAATTCCTGGAAAAACTTTAAGAAGACAATTAATAATTATTATTTGATATAAGAATATAAATAATATAGGGATAAATGCTCCAAAAAGATATATATATAACAGCAAAGATATCTGGTACCTGCATATGGCCCTTTGGTTTTTTCATTCACTATTCATTGAAGCCACAACAGAATTGGAATTTGTTGAGATGCAGCCAAAAAGTTTCGAAAAAACTGTGAGGCTCAGTTATGGTTTGGGGCTGCATTTTAGTCAACGTGTTGGACATCACTCTGCTGAACTCACTGCTCTTTCTTCATGTCCATCCCTCAGGTCTCAGAGGCTTCGGTGGGAAATAAGGTGTTCGACCTGAAGCTCCCGCCCCCTCAGTTGTCCAAAGTGGTCGGATCTCAGACAGACAAATCTCCAGCTGTGACCAGTGAACAGGACAAGAAGGAGCCGAGCACCCAGACCCAGGAGGAGTTTGGCTACATCGTCACCAACCAGAGGTGAAGAGGAATCGACTCAGTGTGTGTTCACGGGATAACATGGGAGACAGACAAATGAATGAATGATTGGATAGTAATTGTAAGTGTAAAATAACATGCTAAAAAGGGAGCATCAAAAGAAATAGAAAAAAAAGAAAAGAAATGAAAACATGGATATGTCTGAAAGGTGGAAAGCAGGGAATCATTGAACTTTTTGAGAAAATACAGATGGACTTGATATCAGAGAGAAAGAGAGATAGAAAGAACGGTTGTACATTTATAAAAAAATTCAAATGAAATAAGAAGTTTGTAGAACTATGCAATGTAGGGATATGAAGGACAAGGTGGAAAGAAAATGGTTGGACGAAAATAAGGGAATGAGGGATGGGATAGAAAGCTCTGAAAGAAACTACAAAGTGTAAGAGAAGGAAAGAAGGGAAACAGGGTAGAAACTCTGAAGGAGTTCAAGGAGGGAACAGAGAAGAGAAGAACAAAACAAGGGAAGAAAAGAAGGAAGAACGGATTGGGGAACAGGGCTAGAGGCAGGGTGGAATAAAAGAAGGACAAAACAGGGAAGTAAGAATGGAGAGAGGCAGAGAGGGAGGGAGGCAGGAAGAAAGGGAGTCAAAAAAGAGGAACAGGGAGAGAGGGATGAGAGGGTGGCACTCAGGAGGGAAAATAGAAAGAAGGAGGGAAGATGGAGAGAAAGGAGGAACTTCATCAAGTAGAACAGGCAGATGTTGTCTTTGGGTGTATAATGATCTGTGTGTTGCTCCATCTGTGTTGAATGCCTCTACACACGTTTCTGTGTGTGTGCCATTTACGTTTACATATGTACTCGGTGGAGTGAGTGCGTGCAGATGTGCGTCCGTCTCCTGTGTATGAAAGTGTGTGTTTTGTCACTTCAGCCACCTCAGTCTGATCGACGGGTTGCGACTGTTGCAGCTGCTGTCAGAGAGGATGGGCCTGTCACATGGCACACTCCTTAACATCAGGTAGGAGGGACAGAGGGCAGCAGTGGGCGTGAAGCCTGACACAAACCCTCACACACACACACACATGAAAATCCCTATCCTGTTCTTTCCTGAAGCGAGCCTGTGGATCCTCTTCATCTCGACTCATTTGTTGGACCACTGACCTTTGTTTGTTTTGGTTCAACAAAGGCTCGGCCCAGAGCTGGGAGATCACTTGTGTGATGTGTGGATTTCCTGCACGTGGTAATGATTCACTGCTTCTCCTTCTGCCTGCTTGACCTGATCACACTCTCACCAGTGACCTTCGTCCTGCACACACTCATCTGCATAATGACTTGTGGTCAATTAGGTTATAGACTGAATATCAAAGTTTTTTTTTCTCCCCCTGAGTGACTCATTGAAGTGTGACTGGTTTGTTTTATTTTCTTCTGTGCAGTGTTGTGGGACCTGCCGTCACCTTCAGGGTTAGACCCAACCCCAAGAACTTGACTGCGGGAAATGTGGCAGAGTCAGCAGGTTAGAGTTTTATCTAAAATTGTCATTCTTCATGAAGTTAAAGCAAAATACTATGTGAAACATCATTTTTGGCAAATCCTTGTTGTGTTTTTTGTTGTTATATGTACACATCCCTGTATTTATTTTTCAGAGGGAAACAACCAGTTTAACAGATCTTTTTCTAATTGCACAGTTGCTGAGAAAACATTTCTGGAGTCGGAGATGGGTCTGAAGGTGTTGCAAAGCGGAGTTGGAGAGGTGTGTGCCAATTTTAATACTTTTTCTGTGCGTTCTCCTGCCTTCACATTTTAAGCAGCATACCTTTTACTGAATATATAAGTCTGTAAGCTTCTGACACACCTTTAGCCAGTTTTAATATACTTTTAAACTACATTTAAGTCGGCTAACTCAGCCTTCACTTTTTTAAGACTTCCAGCTGTGTTTTAGATTTTTTGACTGACTTGGCTAACATTATACTGTTTATTATAAACTTAAACTGTGAGTTAAAGATAAAAACACTGGAATAATATTAGACAGTTTTATCAGCTTAGGTAAATTCGCTTACACTTATACGTTTCAAATATCACATGAACGACCAATATCACAAAACTTACCGAACAGGCGAACACAGGCGTTTCCACAAGCGGCTTTTATTTTGAAAGGTAAAGCGGGAAGAGCCAGTGTTTGAACATGGTTTACCTTAACACGTCAATGTTCGCTGCCTCCATGTGAGTCAGTTCTGATGCGGGACGTTAGGAGAAGCTGCTCCCTGCGGTTTATTCGGTGAGTGGAAATTTTAAATGAAAACACGTTATTCGTCAACTATAACGCGTATTTCTGCGTTATTATTTGCTTTTAAAATCGAATGTATGTTTTGTTTCGGGACGTTTCGTGTTTCGAAAAGCCTTAAATATTGAATTAATGCGTGAAATGAAATATTGTCTCATAACGGTTTGTTTGTAATACGTTATAAGTTTATGAATATCTTTGTGTCACATATGTGGCTTAAAATCTTAACACGACTTCTAAATAGCATGAATTGACTTTTCCCAATTTCATTTATTTTAAATGTTATAATTTACAGCAGATAATGTTATCCATTTTAAATACATTTGATTGATTTACATCGAGGTGTAAATATATTTTATCTTACCCTGGAGGCCTGCAGGAGACTTTCTGCAGCTCCACCTCATTAAGTAAAGTTTTAATTATTTAACAGCCTATTTTGCAGATTAATGCGTTTGCATCAATTGGACAAAGTCTTACACTGGAGGTTGAATCATCATAAATAAAAACAAAAAGTAGAAAGGTTACCTCAAAGAACTTTTCAGAGGACTAAATCTTATTTCAGGCTGCTCCACCTTAAATCCACTTATTTCCTCTAACCACATGCAGCCTGGACGTCTATTATTTTCTTTTTTCTTCTCTCTCTGTCTCACACACACACACTGAGAGAGTGAAAGCCTCACATCTCACATTCCTGAGGCCCACAAAGAGGAAGGAGGAGGTTCGAAAGGTCAAGAGAGAGACAATTCATCCGCGGAGGTGGAGAAGAAAAGAGGGGATCGGTGGGATAATCAGGAGGAGGAGGAGGTGGAGGACGAAGGATTGATTGAAAAGTGAAAAGGGGGGGGGTGAAGGTGGCTAATGAGGAAAGTTGGAAAGGGGAAGGAGAGTGAAAAGATGGAGAATGACAGAGAAGAACTGTCCATTTATTTTGCAGAAAGAATAGAAAAGACAGAATACAAATCCTATTTCGGTGAAGGAGGTACAGCTTCTAAAAACGCAGTTAATTCTACAGAGGGTCAGTGCGAGAGATTCTGTAGAGTCTGTCTTTTGATGAATTCAAAACTTTATTAAACCTGGAAAAGGACACAACTACATATCATAAAAGAATTGAGGTTTTCGATAAAATACTACCTCTGGACTCATGCATGTTCAGCAGCAGCTTCCACTCTTGGTCTTCACACACAGTGTCTCCTGCCAACGTTATTTTTCACAATATCATGAACTGAAAATATCGTTAAATCATTTAAAACATGAATAAACATTTTAATATTCAACACTTTTACTTTTCAGCCACAAAGAAATAAAGATGGGAAGGCATTGCCTCTGGCCACTCGGGTCCAGTCCAGCTCTCACTGGGTCTTCGTCACACTGGTGGCCATGGGCTGCATCGGAGGCATCCTAGTGGCAACGATGACAGTCGCCTGCCTGCGCCACCACGCTCACCGTCTGGCGGCCAAAAAACTTGGGTTGGGGCCCGAGGGAGGCAGCTTTAGCCACCAAGAGTACCAGGTGAGAGCTCATTTAGTTATTAACTATTAGCTGTTTTATGATTCGATTTACAGCAGTTACTTTTGGTAGTTACTTTGTGCCTGAACATAAAGTAAGATTTGGCTTTTTTAACATTTACATAAAAGAAGAACCATTTAAAACATCTAATGTTTCAAATATAATTAATATTCTATAATATTAAATATTATTTTGTTTGCGTTCTTTTATGATTGTCTTTAAAGATATTTTTCTGAATTTCACTGCTTTTTAGTAATATTGTAATTGTTTTTGATAGCAGTTTTCCAGGCTGTAATTTTAGCTTTAGCTGTTTGTTGCAAATTTTTCCCAAAATATCTAACCAAAATTATACATTTGAAAATTGTTATTAGCTATTCTTGCTGCCTTATACCTATATAACCCTATACTTTGGGCCATAACCCATCCCATAGCCAACTGTGATCTAATTAGGTTCAAATTAATTTAGTGGCATAAAAGACAGTGTAAACATTTATAAATAAATGGCATCATAAAACATTATGAATGGCTATAACTGGCTCACCAGGACCTGTGTCGCCAGCACATGGCCTCCAAAGGTGCTTTCGGACGCCTTGAAGCCGCAGCTTTGGGCGCAGTGGGAGGAGGGAGTGGAGGAGGTGGCAGTGCTGCCAGTGTTGGAGGAGGAGCAGGAAGTGTAGGAGGAGGAGCAGGAGCAACAGGAGGCTGTGGTGCAGACTCCAGAGTGAGCAGTGTGTCGTCCCAGTTCAGTGATGGAGCTCAGCCCAGTCCCAGCTCCCACAGCAGCACTCCTTCATGGTGCGAGGAGCCGGCCCAGGCCAACATGGACATCTCCACTGGTCACATGATCCTGGTCAGTACCTGTTACTGTGTTAGTAAATGATGTCTCTGAACACATATGGCCAACTTTCAATTTACAGTATTAATGATACAAAGGAAACAATGAAATATACTAAAAAAAACAACAACAAATCTTCCAATCCAACTATAACTGTGTACTTTAGTAATATTTCTCAAAGATTTACATCTCTTTCTCACTAACCTTTGGCTGTTATGGCAATTATAACTACTTTCTTGTTACAGAAAGAATTGTTTTGGCTACTTAGTGTACATTTTTTGCTAACATTTTTTTAACATGTACTTTGTTTTGATAGTATACGTTTTTTAGCTATATAACTTTACTACATTATTATGATTTGGTCAAATTTTGTACTACACTAACACTTGCCCTGAAATTTCAAAGCTAGCTTTTCATTATTTTATTATGTTTTATATCTATTTCTAGACTATGAGTTTTTGTCTCTACATTGATCTTCCTCCAGGCTAACTCATAGCTACTCTGCTATAGCTTTGTCTGCTTGTAAGCTATCACGACCCACTCATCTATGATCAATTTATTATTTTTTTGAACCAGGCTTACATGGAAGACCATCTAAGGAATAAAGATCGTCTGATGAAGGAGTGGGAGGCTCTGTGTTCCTACCAGGCTGAGCCCAGCGTTGTCTCTGTGGCTCAGAGTGACGCCAACGTCAAAAAGAACCGTTGCCCTGATTCTGTCCCCTGTGAGTTTTGGTGATAGCTACACCTGTTCATCAACTTTTTCAATCTTCATTCAAGTAGAAAACCAGCTAGTTGCTAAACATTACTGTTGTCCTTTGCACAGATGACCATTCCAGAGTGAAACTGAAAGAGATCAACCCTTCACGGTCCGATTACATCAACGCCAGCACTATAGTAAGTCCCTGCCTTACAAGTGGTCACCATGGAACACTGAGGAGAATCCATTTGTCTTGAAATGTTTCAGGAAAGAATGCAGATGCTGCAGTGGACCTCTCCTAAGACCACTGACCCCATATGACCTTTCACCTCTCCTTCTCTAGATCGAGCACGACCCCCGGATGCCGGCCTACATCGCTACCCAGGGCCCCCTGTCACACACTATCTCTGACTTCTGGCAGGTCAGTGGGATGATAATGAAAATTATAATTGGTTTCTTTTTTCCTGTGGTAGTTTCCTGCACGAGTTCTCACTTAACCTGGAAAATGATTGATCCATTTCCCAGGCCGGGAAAATACATACAACATATTTTCAAGTTATCATAGAATCATGTATATCATGTATTTCTCCGCCCTGCTTTTTGAGTTGGGTTGTTCCAGTACAGTACAAAATACCTGATGTGATTATTTTTATTTGTATACTTGCTGATACCCAGTAGATACTGATCCTTCATTGGGTTGGGTTTCAAAGAATATTAAATGAGGTGAAAGTCTGTGTTACGTACAGTAGGTGGCAGTGGCACAGCACTGTGGGAAATGGTGAGGATACCACATAGGAAAATACTAACAGCCAGTTTTATTTTCTTCTCATTATCAGAATGTCCATCATATCTAATATAATGTCTTTAAACTGAGACACATAAGGCAACATAATAATAAAAATAAAATAAATAATAATTATAACTTTACACAAAAATTGCACATTTCAATTCAGAACACACAAACTGTCTAAGCCTTAATTACTTCCTCCAGTTTCCCAGGAAGTAGTTATAATTATAAATATGACCTTTTCTACACAATTTAAGGAGCATTTGAAGCAGAAAGGTAGTTCCCAAAAATGTTCATTCGAATGTTTTTGCACACCGTTGATGGAGGTGTACAGCTTCACAGAAGAACTGAGCTCTGTGCTTTGTTAAGCTGCTATTCACACAGCTGCTCTTGTGTAGATGGTGTGGGAGAACGGCTGCACTGTGATTGTGATGATGACAGCACTGGTGGAGGATGGGGAGAAACAGTGTGACCGCTACTGGCCTGATGAAGGCTCGTCCCTTTACCACATCTATGAGGTACTTCAGAGTTAAAACAAAAATCAAATCTACACTTTAACATGAAGACTCTTTCGAGGCTAAGATGTTTCTGTGCTCATATGCTTCCAAATGTCTCTCAGGTCAACTTGGTGTCTGAGCACATCTGGTGTAACGACTTCCTGGTGAGAAGTTTTTACCTGAAAAACGTGCAGACCCAAGAGACCCGTACCCTTACTCAGTTCCACTTCCTCAGCTGGCCAGCAAAGGGCATCCCTACTTCAACGCGCCCCCTGCTGGATTTCCGCAGGTACTGTTTTTTTACCAGCACATCCACATTTGAACACTTTACTAAAAACAGTATTCCTTTCTTAGGGCCTACGGTCCTTTCTCCCGGGTTCTTTTGTGTTTCCATCCCTAGACCCCTTCACTTCTGTGTTCTTTAACCTTGTGCGATGGAGGTCAGCGGGGCCCATGGTTTGAAATTAAACATATCTGTCTGTGTCATTCTTGTGGTTTGCAGCTAGTAATCTGGCTCCAGTTGCATAGTCACAAAAATGATCATGGACTGATGTGGCTGCAGCAGGAGGTCCATCGCCAAAAACCCTTTCTCTCTGTCTCTCTATCTGTCTCTCTCTCTGTCTCTCTCTCTGTCTGTCTGTCTGTCTGTCTCTCTGTCTCTCTGTCTGTCTGTCTCTCTCTCTTTCTCTCTGTATGTCTGTCTGTCTGTATGTCTCTCTCTCTCCCTCTCTCTGTCTGTCCGTCTCTCTCTTCTTCTCTTTCTCTCTCTTTCCTTCTCTCTCTGTCTATCTGTCTGTCTCTCTCTCTGTCCTTCTCTCTCTCTGTCCGTCTATCCTCTGAGAGGCTTTTGTTCAATTTTTTGTTCAATATAAAGAAGTTGTTTAATCCGTAGACTGACTAATTTTCTTTTTAATTATTACCAAAGCAAAGTAAAACACTAATATGTGTGTATTTCTGTAATTAATTCCATGTACTTCCTCAGGAAGGTGAATAAGTGCTACAGAGGACGATCCTGCCCCATCATTGTACACTGCAGGTAAACTGAACAAATAGTCACTGTCTCCAGTATAAAACTATCTCTGTGTAAAGCTGTCTTATCTTTTCCTCTAAATGATGACTGAATGATTCTCATAACTTTGGTATTTGGAAAATCTTTCAAACATTTCCATTGTGACACCTTACACACAGTACTGTGTACACAGTACACAGTAATGATGGATTTTTTAAAGGATATTCTTCACGGTAGTACCATTTTAATCCACAAGGAGACATGCTTGTGTAGTATTTTAACTAACTTATGTGTTAGGGAGGTTCCTCACCTAAGTTTATTTTTTAAAACATTTGGTTTGTATTGTGATGCTGTCTCTACAGTGATGGTACAGGTCGGACTGGAACTTACATTCTGATTGACATGGTTCTGAACCGCATGGCTAAGGGTGAGGTTCATCTTATATGTGTCCTGTCTGTGTAATATTTTAAAGGAGTAGTCTTGTATTACAAGTTTGCTATTGTAATAAACATGTTTTATTTTTTTGGCTGCAGGAGTGAAGGAGATTGACATTGCTGCCACACTGGAGCACATCCGTGACCAGAGGCTTGGAATGGTTCGCACCAAGGTGTGTTAAACCATTCGTCATTTTCCTTTTCATTCATTGCACACTTACAGAAACGCCCTTCATCATATTTTATTACAGTAAAATACCTTATACGTGCATATGTGTTTATGTATGTAGTGATATCTTTTTGTTTTTCTCTTTTTTTTAGGACCAGTTTGAGTTTGCTCTTACTGCGGTGGCAGAGGAAGTCAACGCCATCCTGAAAGCTCTGCCACAGTGAAGTAAGCACGTGACCTGGACCTCTCCCACTCTGACAAACTGACCCGGCCTCTCTGACTCATGCTAAAAGACTAACCTTTAATGTTTATTTCCCTGTTAAAAAAAAGATCATGGTCTATCTGTCTGTCCAGTGATGCCTTGAAGTGCAATGTCGCACAACATAAAAATAAAAAAAGTAAAAAAGACTCATGCCAGTCAAAAAGATTAGTTTGGAGAGACTCTGGTGAGTGAAAATCTGAGTTTAATTGTTTGTGGTGCAGCTGTGATTCACGTATTCACGGATGTTCAGATCATGGCAAATGTGTCATCAATTTATTTTTTTAAATAGCAGGGAAAAGAAGAAATGAAGCTACACATGCCTTGTTACTGTTCATCAACTCTGACCATGAAAAACTGGATGCATTTTTCTGAACCCTATAACCGCATGTGAATGCGCCACAAATAGTTTAAACCAAAGATCTTGGTATTTTGCAAGTCTGGTTGAAATCATTGCTGTTTTGAAAGCAAGATGAACCACACAGTTATTTACCATTATAAATTCCTAAATTCCTAAAATTCTGTCAAATGAAAAACAATATAAATTTAGATTCCCCAGAACAATTTATTTAAGTATAAAAAGTATATAAATAAAAGTATAAAAAAGTTTGGCAAGAAATGGGTTGATTGCCTGCACCTCAGGAGCTTCTGTTCCTTTCTTTGTGTAACATCTGTTGTAACACACATGTTATATTCTGTTCGCTTGTCATTGTTCATTAGTCATTAAAAGTGGATTGATTGTCGTATACCTCATGCAAGTTAAAAAATGAATAAAAATAAAATGTTATTCTGTTAAAGAAAAAATATCTATTTTGTATCTGTGCGCTCGTAAATAAATCGTTACGTGTTTAATTGCTGCAATCAATCTGTGACTCCGTATTTTTATTTTTTTGTTTTGTTTGTTTTTTAACCTCGTTGCAAAGGTTCCGTATTATGCGGAACCTATGAAGGAAGCTTTTGTTTGACGACGGAGTTATAAAACAGAAGGACCAGTCAACAGTGGCAGTCGCTGAGGAGGTATGTTTGTCAGATTAGGAATTTTAAAATGTCTATGCTTTTTTTCAATGCACATCATGTTACAGATTTGAATTAAAATTATCCGAATAGTTGCTGAATATGGTTTTTCAGACATTTAATTCGTCCTAATCCGCTGTTCCCATCAAGTACCCATCAGTTTGCACTGTCATCTAATAATTAGTTATTCATTAGTTATTTGTTATTCACCATAAATATGCGTTTAAAGTTAGAGGTTGGTGAAGAATATACAGTGTCACTACACACCTAGATTATAGAAAAATACTCGCTGTCATTCTATCTTTTAAATATACGCATTTACAAGTATGTAAACATTAACAGTGAACGAGTTGCTCATACGATTTGGTGTAATTGTCTTTTCTTCGCAAAACAAATTTGTCACGAGTGCCTTTTATTTTGTTTTTATATCAATGGGGTTTTACGGACAAAAAAGCCGGGCAATTTAATATGTAGGTTTTTTAAAACAAATGTTGCTTTATGCAGCACAGTTTGGTAGCCGAATTTAAGAGAGTCTAATTTTATTTTTAAGAGGGTTTAAGTTAGGCTTTCACTAAATGTGTGCACAGGAGTGAGAGCACTTTAATTTGGATTCTGCATTTTATGAATGGAGTTTGGTTAGACCGTGTCTGCTCACAGGCGTGAAGGGAGCGTGTCAGGACTGCAGCCTCAGTAACCGCTGGCATCCGCGTCCAGCTTCGAATGCCAGTGTTCGGCTGTCATAAAGTTACCGATTTAGTCTTTTTTGCAATTTTCAACGTGAATGAATGAGTCAACCTCTGTGTCCCAAGCGCCGCTGACGAGAAAAGCCTCTCTTCTTTCCTAGAAAACAGATCATAACTGAGAGGAGCAGAGAAGCCGCAGGAGCTGCCACTGCGGTTTCCCGGGGCCAAGGCGCTCATTATGCGGCTGGGACGGCGTCTGTAACGCGACTTTAACAGATCCTGCTCTAGACTCAGGGGGT